CTTTGAATCCGTATTGTGTGTCGGGTATAATTTTGTTGTGTCTTATGTGTTTGTTAAGTCTTTTGAGTAGTACCTTTTCGGCTACCTTACTCATTGTGTTGAGGAGGCTGATCGGTCTGTAGTTCTGTGGTATGTCTGGCTGTTTCCTTGGCTTCACTATTGGAAATATGATGGAGGTTTTCCAAGAAGCGGGAAAGCAGCCTTTTGTCATTAGTCTATTTATTATGCGCGTAAGTAAAATGTAGGCGTTCGTCGGCAGTTGTTTAAGTATTATGTTTTGTAGTCCGTCCGGTCCTGGTGCTTTCCTGTTCGGTAATTTTTTAACTATTGTCTTTATTTCGGAAACTGTGGCAGGGTCTATTCGTAAGTCTTTGTCCCTGTGGAGGTCAGTGAAGTTTTGAATTGTCTCGTGTACGTCTTGTTTCAGGTCTGCGTTTGACATATTGGCATTTTGTTTATGGATGTTCTCAAAATTTTTTGCCAATATTTCCGCCTTGTCTGCTGGTGTCGTTGCGTAATTGTTGTCTGTTAATTTGAGTGGAGGTATGGATGTTGGTTTCTGCGTCAGTCTTTTTGCTGTCTGCCAAATCTTGTGTGGGTCAGTATTTAAGTTCTCGAGTCTTTTGGTCCAAGTGTTGTTTCGGTGGTCACGTATATCATTGGAAATAATTTTGGTCAGCCTGTTCACATGTTCCTTGAGTAGTCTGTCACCGGTACGCTGCCACAGTTTCTTTGTGTGATTTTTAAGTTGTATTTTCAAAAAAATGTGTTCTGGCAAGTCGTTGTCTGGTGTTGTTCTTGAGTCTAGTGTCGGTATAGTCATGTAATTATGTTCATTACATGATTTTCGTTAAAATGTATATTTTTGAAGATATTAGCAAACTAGTTGGTTTGGTATTTAGCCTTGAGGCAAGTTACATGAACTTCCCGATATGTTTAAATAATCGACTTAATCAATAAAAAATAAATTAATTTATGAGTCATTAAAAGTATTCCGAGTGGATTTATTACACATAATTGAAACGAACGAACACTTTGACTTGAAGTATTTTCTAAAAGCAAATTTTATATAATTGAACCAGTTTTTAGGACTTTAATGGTTTATTATGTTCAAGAGCAAGTACTCTATCATTAAACCAAGTAAATAGTCTAATTTTAATTTTAACAAATCTCAAAAGAACTACTCATTTTCTCAAACTTTGATGAATTTTTAAAATCAAACTATTTGTAGTAAGGCCGTAATATTTCAGTAAGTTCTATAAGGCCATGGTATATATCACTAAAAAAAATTCATAAAAATCGGCTTAAATTTTTTTTTCAACAGTTAATTACAAGAAAACGGCTCGGTAGATTTTCACCTAAAACTAATCAGTATCATTTCCAACTAATATCTTTCGAACAGTTTTTGATTTTTTAAAATCGGTTCGGTAGGATAAGCTTAAATGTGGACGAAAAGTTTAACACTTTTTTTCAAATTATAAAGAAACGGCTTGGCAGATCGTCGCACAAAACTGACAAACGATAGTCCTCACCGAAATACATCAAATGGCTTTTAAATTTCTGAAATCGGTTAAGGCGTTTTTGGGAAAACGTCGATCACAGATTTCATTTTGACAAATGTCAATAAAACGGTACCAATTTTTGCAAACTTTGACGAATTTCTAAAGCTAAACGGGTTGTCGTAGAAATATTTTAGTATGACCTAGAAAACTATGGTATCTACCGTCAAAAAAAAATTCATAAAAATCGTCGAAATTTTTTTTTTAAAAACTTTATTACAAGAAAACTGCCCGGCCGATCTTTACCAAAAACTAATCAGCACGATTCCCAATCAATATCTTTCGAACGGTTTTTGAATTTTCAGAATCTATTCAGAATTGCGGGCTAACTCGTGGACAAAAAATTTTTCACTTTTCCGCAATTTACAAAGAAACGGCCCGGCAGATCGCCGCACAAAACTCAGAAACGATAGTCCTCATCGAGATACATCGAATGGCTTTTAAATTTTCGAAATCGGTTCAGCCGTTTTGGAGAAAACGTCTATTTACGGCAAAAAATCTGTTCACACACACACACACACATACACACACATACTTTTTCCAAATTTGGTCTCATTCGATTCAGAATGGCTTGAAACGTCGAGAAAACATAAAATTAGCGAATCGGATTTTTTGATGAAAACATAAACTTCTCCTTCGGGAAGTTAAAAATGATGAAAAACGCAAACTAGCTGTAAGTGGAATTCTGTCTTAAGGCAATTAAGGCATCGTGCCTTAAGGCAAATTGCTGGAACTTCCCGTGCCAAAAATTATTATTTTTTTAAAAACGATTAACATTTTTGAAAAAAATTTACTTCGAAAAAATAAGATTTTTTAGAAATTTTAAATTGGACAAAAAATTACTTTTTTTTGAAAAAAAAATTTTTTTTTAAATAAATTTTTAAACAATTTTTTTTATAAAATTTTTTTTTTGGAAAAAATGTTATCTTCATTTTGACATATTTTGGAAGATCTGAACTTTTTTTTCAAAGCAATCGTACTTCTTTAACTGCATAGAGACAAAATATAAAGCGCGTAAGCGCCGCGTCGCTGTCTAACGGAAAAACATTGGTACGGAACCCATAGGAATGTAAACAAAACTTATACTTATTGTTAAAATCTCAATAAAATATCTGATAATTTGATATGCATATGTCTAATGTCTAATGATTATTGTTGACCGCCAAATGTTATTTTTTTTTAGTTTTTTTTACTAGATCTCCGAAACCGCTAGACCTATCTTCATGAAAATTTGATCAAATCTTCATCTTGTTAATACAAGTAAAATGTTTTTTGAACTATACAAATCGGACGCTCCGTTCTCTTAAAAACTGAGTTACCGTTTTTGGCCGTTTTTGCCCCATATCTTCGGAACGGCTAGACCTGCCTTTGACAAAAACTAATCAGCACGTCTCCCTATCAATAGGAATCGAATGTTTTTTAAACCATTCAAATCGGTTGACCCGTGCGCCCGAAAACGTGGACGAAAAAACGCGGACATACAAAACACACACACACACATCCATTTTTTCTGAGGTATGCCAAAATGTTCAGAAACCTTCAAAACGTCGAGAAAAATTTTTGATTTCGATTTTTGGACGATTACTATAACTTACCCTACGGGAAGTTAAAAAGAAACAAATATTCAGTAGCCAGTAACTTAAAAAGTATTTGCTTTTTTGAAAAACATTATTAAACATTTTTCTCTTATAATTAGTTCTTTTATCGATAACTAACGTTATTTTGAAAAAAGTAAAATTACACCACTGAAAAAATGTCGTCCACCCGAGAAGTGGTGAAGGAGTCTAAATTGTTTTCACTTCTGAAGAGTAAGATGAACCTAGTTCCAAAATTCCAAACGAATTGGAAAACAGTAAAAAAAGTTCAGACCGAAAGCGCTCCATTAAATATTCCGTACCCAATGACAAACATATGAATTTTTGACACAATGAAACTTCTAAATAATTTTTTTTTTGTATTGTGACTTAGTATAGTAAGGCAAAACGACTGCAAATTGAATATTTTTGAGCGCAATCACTTATGGCTCGCTCCTTTGCACGAATTCGTACGGCGAATCTGTTCGCAAAGTGCGCAAACAAAATTATTGCAAGCAAAAGCAAACCACGCGCACGTTGAGAACACGATTCGCCGTGCGCGTCAGACGCATGCGCAGACTGCATCACTTGTCAGATGCATGTTATATTATTTGCATCTTATATTAATTTAATTTTTGGTACATCTCAGCTGCTTTTCGGCATTAATAAAGTAGACATTACATTTTCCTTATTCATAATCATGCATTTATTGTATTTTAATATTGCCTTAGCCTATAAGTGAATAGAAATGTTTAGCAAATGACAGTCTTCAATTGTTTTTAATGTCAAACTAAGCTTCAAATATTTTCAAGGGCAAACAATGATAAGCGGTTTTTTGTAATTTTTTTCATTTATTTCTACAATCTAACTATATTTCTATGAATCAAAACATTCTAGAAAATTTCCCGAACAAACTTCAGGAAGATTCATGAAAATCCGAATTATAGTTATTATTGTGTAACAGCGATCAATAATGTTGATTAACTTAAATTCAATATCGATTGCAGTAATTATAACCATCAGAAAATATTTTGAATACGCCATCGTAAGGTGTTTGTAGTCCCATTTTAGCAGTATATGAAGTACCGATATTAGTTGGTACATCAGTTGCTTTAATCACATCAGAGTTGTTTTAATCACATCGGAGTTGCTTTTATCAAAGCATGATTGCTGTAGGCCACAGCAGAGTTGCTGTTGGCCTCAGCAGAGACGCGGTGTTAGCCGTTACAATAATAACGGTTAATCCAGCGGTTTCCAACCTTTTTTGCATCGCGCCCCCCTGCAAATATAAAAAAAATTGCTGCGCCCCCCTTTATTTTTTTTAACCGTTTAATTTTATAAATACTCAACTGATCTTATCAGACTACAAATTAATATGCAATATTATGTAAAAATATTCATAAAAACTAAATATTTTTGGTTTATTTTTTAATAACGTTCCAAAAATGTTGGGTTATTTTCGATAATAGTATTCTGGAAACAGTTGTACGCGCCCCCCTTAGGACAGCCTGGCGCCCCACTGAGGGGGCGCGCCCCACAGGTTGGAAACCGCTGGGTTAATCGTTGTAAGTGGTTCTTTAATAAAGTATAGTTTAAAAATAGTCAAATCAGTGTTGTTTATTACAAGTGCAAAGACATTTCAACCAATAACTCTATTAAGAGCTCAAGGCATCCGAAGCCTATTTTCATTTATAATCACCGCTCGACAGGGCAGTGTTGACTAGGAGGTCAATACCAACCACGCTACCACCCAAAACATTACATGTCATTATATATATATATATATACATATATATATATATATATATATATATATATATATATATCTGTGTGTGTATGTAAGTATTTATAAACTATTATTCCACAGGTTGTTCCATGGCATACGCTTTAGAAGTTGCAAGTTTACATCCAGCAAAAGCAATTGGAATATCAAATGTGAAGGGATCTTTAGATTACGATCGTGATGCCGATTTAGTGTTTTTAGATAAAAATTTTAACGTATTATCTACGTGGATATCGGGTAAAATGGTTTATTCAGCAAATTAGCTGTAAATTTGCTGCTATAACTCCTACTAATTTTAATTGCATATGTCATAATAAAATTATTGTATTTTGCACAGTACTAGTTTCAGTTTGCAGATGAATAGAAAATAATTAGTATATATTATTTCTTATAATATTAAAGTAAATATTAATATATGAATGTATTTTTACCTTTAATCAACTTTGGTAGTTTCATCTAGACATTATCTATCAATTTTACGAATGAATACATTAATTAAATATTAATTAATTAATTAAATTAATAAGTTAAATTTAACGCAAAAGTTATTGTGAAGAAATGTAAGCTTTTATTTTAAAAGTATGTAAAAAAAGAAAACATTTATAATGCTATTAAACTATATTACTAGTTATAATTTATACTCATGCATTTCAAATCATAAATAAAATTACAAAATCATTAAATAAGTCATTGCTTATTAAATTCCCGAAAAAGATTGTTTTCATAAAAAAATCCGATTTGCTAATTTTATGGTTTTTCGACGTTTTAAGCCATTCTGAATTGAATGAGACTGAATTTGGAAAACGTATGTGTGTGTGCGTGTATGTGAACAGTTTTATTCTTGTAATTCGACGTTTTCTCAGAAACGACTGGGCCGATTTAAACAATTTAAAAGCCATTCGATGTATCTCGATGAGGACTAGCGTTTATCAACTTTGCGTGACGATCAGCCAAGCCGATTCTTTGTAAAGAGCAGAAAAGTGAAAAAATTTTCGTCCACGTTTTGACCCGCAATTCTGAATCGATTTTGAAAATTCAAAAACCGTTCGAATAATATTGGTTGGGAATCGTGCTGATTAGTTTTTGGTAAAGATCGGACGGGCCGTTTACTTGTAATAAAGTGTTTAAATAATTAACCGAATCGATTTTAAAAAATCAAAAACTGTTCAACAGATATTAGTTGGGAATGATAGTGATTAGTTTTAGGTGAAAATCTACCGAGTCGTCTTCTTGTAAATAACTGTTGAAAAAAAATAGGCAGATTTTTATGCAAGTTTTTTTGGCGATATTATAGAATTTGCTGAAATATTACGGTCTTACAAGTAGTTTGATTTTAAAAATTCATCAAAGTTTGATAAAATAAGTAGTTTTTTATAAGTAGGCGTTTATTACAATTAAAATTAGACGAATTACTTGATATAACGATAGAGTACTTGCTCTTAATGAACATACTAAACCATTCAAATCCTACGGAAACTAGTTCAATTATAAAAAAAATATTGATTTTTGAACATTTGTTTTTAGAAAATACTCCGAGTATTTCACTCGGATTACTTTTAATCACTTATAAATTAATTTATTTTTCATTGATAAGTCGATTATTACCACATATCGGGAAGTTTATGTAACATGCCTCAAGGCAACGTACCAATACCAACTAGTTATAATATTGTTGCAAAAACGTTATTAATTATCTTACCATTATATTATTCATTAAGAATTTCTTCCTATCTTTTAACACGAACTACTAAAAGTCTATTTATTATTAATTGTTAAATATTTTGGAATGAATAATTTTAGCGACCATGCAACTTTAAAAAGCCGTTATATATTTACACAAAAGAGCAATAGGAAGCCCTTTGGATAGCAATAAATATTCAGTTCAATGACGGTCCAGAACATATTTTAGAACCTAGGCAAGCATCCCTTCTGAGCGATGGGATTTAAAGTTTAAATGGGTCCGAGAAACTCAAACTCATACGTTTGCAAATTGATATTCAAAATTTTTTAATACATGAGTAATTTACATGAAATAAAATCGAAATATAATTATTTCAAATAATAATTCTTAACAATTTCAATACGTGAGTATTTTACGTAAAAAAGAAGAGAAAAATTATAATTTCGAATAATAATACTCAACGATTTCAATACATGAGTATTTAAATGAAAAAGAATCGAAATATAATTATTTCAAATAATAGTTTTTACGATTTCAATACATTAGTATTTTACGTGAAAAAGAATCGAAATATAATTATTTCAAATAATAATTGAGTTCCCGAAGGAGAAGTTTATGTTTTCATAAAAAAACAATTCGCTAATTTTATGTTTTTCGACATTTCGAGCCATCGAATGAGACCAAATTTGAACTTGTGGTATGTATGGCATCGTGCCTTAAGGCAAATTGTTGCAACTTCCCGTACCGTAACGAAATGTAAATAGCTTATTATAAATAAATACTGTAACATTGTCTAATATTTATAAGAATTATATAAACTGAATTGCCATGTTAAAATTATTTATTTAAAGTATTTAAGTGGGCTTTAGAGCTTTAGCAAGAATTAAAATTAAATATGAATTATTTTCGATATACAAAAAAAAAATGTTGAAAGAAAAAAATTTTTTTTTTCAAAGCAATTGTTTCTTCATTTTTTTGAATCATTCAAATCGGATGCTTAGTTCTCTCAAAAACTGTCATTTTTCATACATTTAGCTCGGTTTTTCCGAAACGTCTGGACCTGCCTTTGTCAAAAACTAATCACCACGTCTCCCCATCATTACGAATTGAATGTTTTTTGCATTATTCGGATACTCCGATCTCTCAAAAACTCGATTTCTAATTTCTGCACTCTTTGCTCCGTATCCGAAATGGCTGGACCTGCCTTTGCCATAAACTAATCAGCACATCTCCCTATCAATGGGAATCGAATGTTTTTGAACCATTCAAATCGGTTGATCCATGTGCCCGAAAACGTGGACGAAAGATTGTATCCATACATACATACACACACACAAACACACATCCTGCTGCTTGGAACGCCATAGACAGATTTGCGAGAGAGGTACTAATTGACTTGCGTTCTATAGAAAAAGCAAAGGACTTCGGCCATTTAAAAGATGAGTATAAGTTTAAGAATTATAACATTCATTATAACAAGTTAAGAATTTTAACATTTATAGATCCTCTCCTCACGAACGAATGCCTAACGGCAGTTTCCGTGGGGACCAGAAGCAAGGGCAAAGCGGAGGTTTTAGTCAGTATTATACCAGAGCGGTATTGAGTCCGACATACCCATACAGAACACCAGCCTGGGATGCATAAAGGCATTTCCTTCGCTATACAAAAAAAAATAAACATCAATTTTTTCTGAGGTATGCCAAAATGTTCAGAAACCTTCAAAAAGTGAAGAAATGTAAAAAAATTTAATTTAGATTTTAGGACGATTACAATAACTTACCCTACGGGAAATTAAAAAAGTATGTGTGTGAGTGTGTATGCGTGTGCGTGTGTGTGTATGTGAACAGATTTTTTGCCGTTTTCGTAAATCGACGTTTTCTCAAAAACGGCTTGGCCGATTTCAAAAATTTAAAAGCCATTCGATGTAACTCGATGAAGACTATGGTTTGTCAGTTTTGCGCTACGATCGGCCCAGCCGTTTCTTTGTAAATCGCAGAAAATTGAAGAAATTTTCGTCGACGTTTTATCCCGCAACTCTGAATCGATTTTGAAAATTTAAAAACTGTTCAAAAGATTTTGGTTGGGAATCGTGCTGATTAGTTGTTGGTAAAGATCGGCCAGGCCGTTTTCTCGTGAAAAAGTGTTAAATAAAAATTCAAAAACTGTTCGAAAGATATCAGTTGGAATGATACGGATTAGTTTTAGGTGAAAATCTACCGAGCCGTTTTCTTGTAGCTGTTGAAAAAAAATTAAGCTGATTTTCATGGAACTTTTTTGGCGATATAAATCATGGTCTTATAGAACTTACTGAAATCTTACGACTAGTAGTTTAATTTTAAAAATTCATTTGAGAAAATGAGTAGTTTGTAAAATTAATAACGTTTGTAAAATTAATATAAATTAATAAATTAGTGCAAAAAAGTGCTGTTTGTTCATATTTCTAATTTAATATATATATATATATATATATATATATATATATATATATACTAGCTGACCCGGCAATCGTTGTTTTGCTAAGTAAGGTATATTCTAATCAATTTCTAGAGAATCAAAAATATTAATACTTTAAGTGTATAAGGCTGCATTGTTTGAATGCTATATACAATGAGGTATTATCAAAACAATAAACCCCATTAGTTTGTCTATATTTTGTCAATACAATCAAACTGGAAGTTTTATATACTTTTTATAGAAATCATGGTATAATCCAATCCAAGTCTTTTTTTGGTATTTCGACTTATTGATTACGCTTTATGCATTTCAGATTCCTTTGGATTCTGGATTTTGAGTATAATTGTAAATAATACTACTGAGTAGAGCTGTCAAGAACCGTCATTTTCAAGAACCGGTTCCAAAGTCCAAAAAGGACTCGGTTCCGGAAGAACCGTGAACGGTTCCAACCCGGAAAAGTCCGGATCGATCCCGGAAAATTCCAGACCGCTCCGGAAAAAAGTCCGGCTACTTTTTTCTTATTAACTTCCCGTAGGGTAAGTTATTGTAATGGGCCGAAAATCGAAATTGAAATTTTTTTTATTTCTTGACGTTTTGAAGGTTTCTGAACATTTTGGCATACCTCAGAAAAAATAGACGTGTGTGTGTGTGTGTATCTATGTATGGATACAAATTTCCAGTCACGTTTTCGGGCGCACGGTCAACCGATTTGAATGGTTCAAAAAACATTCGATTCTTATTGATAGGGAAAAGAGCTGATTAGTTTTTGGCAAAGGCAGATCCAGCCGTTACGGAGATAGGGAGCAAAGAGTGCAGAAAATAGAAATCGAGTTTTTGAGAGAACGGAGTATCCGATTTGAATGATCTAAAAAACATTCATTTAGTAATGATTGGGAGAAGTGTTTATTAGTTTTTGGCGAAGGCAAGCCCAGCCATTTCAAAGATTCGGAGCTAAATGTGTAAAAAATGGCAGTTTTTGAGAGAACTAAGCGTCCGATTTAAATGATTCAAAAAACATTGTGCTTGTCTTAACAAAATAATTGATTTTGGAAAAAAAACATTTTGTTTCAATTTTTTTTTTTCAAAAAAAATTTTTTTTTGTATATCGAAAAAAATGCAGATTTTTCTTTTAATTCGGACTATAGTTCTAATATACTTTGAACAAATAATTTCAACTTTGCAATTCAGTTTATATAATTCTTATAAATATTAG